ATAATAATAATAATAATAATAATAATAATAATAATAGTAATAATAATAATAATAAAATCAGCTAAATAACCTTACCATTAATAAGTCATAAACACCCCATTCAAGTAACAAAGTTAAACACCTAGAATAACCTACATCATTAGCGTAATTAGCCCTCATTAGGCAGATTAAGAATACAAACTCAATTAATAAGCAATTCAATATCCTTTCGTAAAATGTTTCATCCTATTCGTATGAGCATAATCGCTGAAAGGAAAAAGGAAAATATAAAATATTACTTTTTTTTTAGCTTACAAGTAGCCGGTTCTCTTGTTTCCTGAGAGCATGTTTATACTTTATGACGCTGTTGGCTGGAGTTGTCTCTTTGATTCTGGTGGCTCTCTGGTTTTTAATTTCACTTTATGTTAATATTTTGGGGACTATATTTTGCATGAAATTGGTTTATTGAAGATGGTGATGAATATGTGGGCGTTTCCAAGTGTACGCACGTGCGTGTGTGTGTGTGTGTGTGTGTGTGTGTGTGTGTGTGTGTTTGTGAAGGTATCAAAGGAGAGATAGTAAGAGACGCAACAACAATCGAAGGTGTTTGTCTGTTGTCCTTTGATGTTCCTAAAATCTTTTCGCAACGTGAGTGGTTTGTTTTCTTTCGGTAGCTGGATATTGCCTCTCTGTCCGAACTCTTTTCATCTCTGTCGTTCAATTTTTTCTTGATTTCCTTAAAGCATTCTTGAACAGTCTAGTGTAAAAGAAGGCGATGGAATGTTCAAGATTGACTCAGTTGTTCTTCTTGTACGAAATCTGAGAGAAGAAACTGGGATTTTGATCCGCGGGTCTCTTGAGCCGAAACGTCACAAACCAGGCTCAAATTTCCATTCTTTGGCGTCGCCTTTGGAGAGAATACGTGCCGTCCTCTATCCCTGAGGACTGGAGCTCAGCCTATCCCAGGCGTGGTGGTGGCTGGAGGCTTGGTGCGTCGCATGCATAAGACACTGAGTCTCCAGGGGCCCCCACGCGCTGTAATATGCTGGCACAGCGTCTCCACACATGCTGCACGCTGCAGAATTATCATAAATTTTGTGTGTCGGGTATGACGCCTTCCGTGGCTGGCGCCTATAGCAATAGTATTAGTGTTTCTTGAAGGTTTGGTCGCGAGACTAGACGCACTCTGGGGTGTATATCGACAAAATATCGGTGCTGATGCTTATCTTCCCTGCCTCAGTTGGTGTGTATGTTGACAAACACCCAGTCCAGATATCTATCATGCTACGAAGAGAGAGAGAGAGAGAGAGAGAGAGAGAGAGAGAGAGAGAGAGAGAGATCAGTAGATGACACGTGCATAGTGATTACATTGTAATTATTTCTATACCACATCACACACACACACACACACACACACACAAACACATCTGTGAACCTCCTCCAGACGAACACACGACACCCTCCTTCAATATAATTCATCACTTCCCCAGATGATAACTACACCACAGTGACTCCTTCTCCTCGTCTTCAGTACTTTGTTACATTAATGAACTGAATCTATTGGTGACAGGCAACTTACCTCTATTGTAAGGAGGGACCCGAAATAACTCTCTCTCTCTCTCTCATTTTCTCTTTCCATTTGCATTTTTCTCTATGGTTATTCCCCTCTTCCTACCTGTCTGATTCTGTCTGTCCTCATTTGTCTGTCTCTGTATCTGTCTTTATATCTCTGTCTTTTATTGTTTGCTAGTTTATTATTTTCCACTTATGTGTCTCTTTCTCTCTCTCTCTCTTTATTCTGGTTAGCTTTCTCTTCTTCTCTTCATTTTGTTTACCAATCTCATTCTCTCACATATTTTGATCTATCTATCTATCTTTGTTTGTTTGTTTGTTTGTTTGTTTGTTTGTTTGTTTGTTTGTTTGTTTGTTTGTTTCTTGTACAATTCATGTGAAACAACCCCTTCCTTCATAAAGTTCACTCACGAAACCTTTAATGCAAATATTTTTAAACCGTGAAGAAGATGACGACGAAGCAAAAGAAGAAGAATAATTATAAAAATGAAAAAAAACACAAAGAAAAAGAAAAAGAAAAGAAGACTTGGAAGAACTATAAATGTCTCCCTTCCTCTTAATTTAAAGTTCCCCAGTCCATTAATTTTGCCAATTAAAGAAAAGTAGCCTCAATGACCTTTCGCTGTTCCTTCTTTAGATGGTCTCTATAAGTAGTCGACTTTAATAATCTACTTTAATAGTCTACTTTAATAGTTTATTTTAATAGTCTACTTTAATAGTCTACTTTCATAGCCTACTCTACTGGCCTACTTTTAATAGTCTAATTTACTGGTTTATTTCTATAAGCTACTTTATTTATATACTTTTAATAATTTTTACTCTAATGAATCTACTTTTTATGCACTTACATGGATTCTTCCCCTGAAATATGGCGCCATAAACTAAAGAAGGTAAGGTGGTCTTCCCTCAACTAAGACGGATAATCCAAGTTTGAATGTAATTTATCTTGTTAAATGGAATGTAGTAATTTGGGGTTGTAGAGAAGAGGAGTATTACGTCTTCTTCCCTCTTACCTCTCCTCTCCTCTTCCATTCCATCCCTTTCCCCTCTGCTTCCCTCTCTTTCATTCATCTTATCTCTCTCTCATCTCCCAAACTGAGGGATTATATATATATGTGTGTGTGTGTGTGTGTGTGTGTGTGTGTGTGTGTGTGTGTGTGTGTGTGTGTGTGTGTGTGTGTGTGTGTGTGTGTGTGTGTGTGTGTGTGTGTGTGTGTGTGTGTGTGTGTGTGTGTGTGTGTGTGTGTGTGTGTGTGTGTGTGTGTGTGTGTGTGTGTGTGTGTGTGTGTGTGTGTGTGTGTGTGTGTGTGTGTGTGTGTGTGTATGTGTGTGTGTACTAAGTTTATCCCTGTGTGTCTGTGTATGTTTGTATGTATGTCTGCATTTTTATCTGTCTAAGTGAGGGAGTGAGTGAGGACCGGACTGCAGCTCAGGGTGGCCCGTTGGGAGATAAGAGACGGTCTCCCTCACCCGTCTCAGACCACACTAGTCCAGCATTAAATTTCCGGCGAATCCTTGCACTGAGCCACCGGTCATGACTCTCCTAGATAAACTCGTCTTCCACCTACACTGTCAGCCTCCACCTACACTGTTACCCTCCACATATACTGTCAACCACCATCTACACTATCAGTTTTCATCTACTCTGTCAACCTCCACTTACACTGACACGAGCTTCCACCAAGACAAAAAATCATACGTTATTATATTCCGCGTCCATCATCAGGTACATAAAGATCTCACAAAATTTTCACACACACACACACACAGACACACACACACACACACACACACACACACATTACACCAAGTGGCACGCAGCAGCCAACCCCCATATCACCAAATACACACTTAGAGGCAGGAGAGCTTGTCATTCTTCAGGAGGCGCCCGTGACCTGACCGACCAGCCTCCCCTACTCTGAATTTTGGGCTTGGCAGTGTGACCTCGACCCTGCATAATTCATCCAGGTGATGTATATACCCAAGCTCTCGTGTACCTGTAGAATTGGGTCGTGAGTCTTACCTGAGGGGGAGGAATTGGGGGTGTGGTGGTGAGCGGGATGTTGGTGGTGTAGGGTGTTGGGGTTGTCGGGGTGATATGGGGTGTTGATGTTATCGTAGGGGGAGGCAGGAGGAGAGTATAGAAATTATAGATAAATAATACATAGATAGCGTGTGTGTGTGTGTGTGTGTGTGTGTGTGTGTGTGTGTGTGTGTGTGTGTGTGTGTGTGTGTGTGAAAAACGTAATATAAAAAAAAGACGACACCACAAACTACCACACAAAAACCTTATCTGAAACATATCCACTTTTTTGTTGTTGAATGGACGACAGTAAAATTATCGGTTCCTTTTAAATCCTGGCCAATCACGAGGAAACTTCACTACGTCCACTAACACAAGATTAATAATATGTTGTATTCTGATGACGTTTCAGGGTCACAGTTCACGTACAATAGGTTGTGGGAGACACATATTACTTTTCTTCACGGATTATTAACGTTTATTGCTTGTATCATCACTGCTATATTCTCCTTCCGTTTATTATTATTATTATTATTATTATTATTATTGTTATTATTATTTTTTTTATTATTAATATTATTATTATTATTATTATAGTAGTTGTTGTTGTTGTTGTTGTAGATAATTTCTTACGACCATTCACATACTCTTTCTCTTTCTATCTCACTTACTTGGTGTGTCTCCCTGTCCCTTTCTCACTCCCTTTATCTCTTTCCCTCTTTTTTTTCTGAGTGTCTTTTTCTTTCTTTCGTTCTCTTTCTCTTTCCCTAGATACCTCTATACCCTACTTTCTCTCAATCCCTTCCCCCTCCGTTTATCTCTCTCTCTCTCTCTCTCTCTCTCTCTCTCTCTCTCTCTCTCTCTCTCTCTCTCTCTCTCTCTCTCTCTCTCTACTCTCTCACAAATCTCTCCATCTCCCTCCACCTCCTTCCCCCCCCCTCTACTTTTATTGCCTAGACTGACCCAGTCGCCCAGGGTCTCCTTTGATGTAGTAGAGGCTTTTAGCGTCACCAGGCCTCAGAGTGTACAGCCCTGACCTGAGTGTTTGAGTAAGTTGCTTCTTCTCACCTCGCCATTTATGTTTCATTTCTGTTAAGGAGATAAACGAGAGATAAATATTTTTATTTTTGTTATTATTATTATTATTATTATTATTATTATTATTATTATTATTATTATTATTGTTATTATTATTATTATTATTATTATTATTATTATTATTATTATTATTATTATTATTATTATTATTATTATTATTATTATTATTATTATTATTATTATTGGGATTGTTTTTATTATTATATTAACATTGTTATTATGATTATTGTATATCTTTAGTATCAATTACATTTTCATCATTATAACAATTACTACTTTCACTACTACTACCACACTACTAAGATTACCTACATCTCCTATAACTTACGTTTTATGAGAGTATTAGCAGAGAAATACCCTCTCTTCTCTCCTCTGCGCTTACCTGGAAAGAGAGAAAGAGAGAATAGATAAATAAGAGCATTAGTAAGGGATAATTCTTTCTACTGTGTGTGCAAGAGATATGACCTGAGGAAGTGTGGGTAATTAAAAAGGTGTTAGTTAAACTCTTATACGATTCTCCACTTCTTTATGGTGTATATGTTTCCTGGTCCTTCATATATACATACATACATACATACATACATACATACATACATACATACATACATACATACATACATACATACATACATACATACATACATACATACATACATACATACATACATACATACATACATACATACATACATACATACATACATACATAAAAGGACTGATAGGGAGTTATATCCTCGACTCCAAGTAATTTATCATGAAGTTTATTCTGAATTCCGGGAAGAAGAAAAAAAAGAGGATAATTTCAGGTGAAGGAAACACACGAAGGTCGAAGTCCTTGGTCGATCTTATTAAATTGAGGGGCAGAAAGAATGTTGTTTTTTCTTTTCTTTTTTTATTATTATTATTTCTATCTATGTTTTCTCTCTCTTTTTTTTCTGTCTAACTGCATTACTGCATTTTATCTTCTTATCGTTGCTACTTTTTATGTTGGTCTCTCTCTCTCTCTCTCTCTCTCTCTCTCTCTCTCTCTCTCTCTCTCTCTCTCTCTCTCTCTCTCTCTCTCTCTCTCTCTCTCTCTCTCTCTCTCTCTCTCTCTCTCTCTCTCCTCCACCACCATCTTCACGAATGCTCACAAAACCTTACGAATTTAGACCTAAAAAGAGAAAGAATATATCAGAGCAGCTAACTCGGTTCTTTGCTCGGCGCCCTAAAGTCGGATCTCGAGGAGGGAAAAAAAGATCCTGTTGGTGAAGGTCCTACGATTCCTGTGGGTAAAGAGGAGAGTGGGGGGTAGGGGGAGTGGCAGGAGGATAAGAGTCCTTGGGGGGGGGTCTAGTGAGGGAGGAAGGAGTGAAAGGGGTTAAATTTTGCAGGGTAAGCCTGGAGAGGGTGGTTTTGTTAGAGTTTTGTGAGGGAGAGGTTGAATCCTAGAGAAGGGGTGTGAATGGATTCTGGCCTAAGGAAGGTGCTGATTCCTGGTCTAAAGGGGGGGATGCGTTCACTGCAGAAAATAGTAGGGAGAGTCTCCAGGGAGGAAGGACTAGAGTGTAATGATATAATGATAGGGAGATGAAGTTAGGCCTAAGGAGAATGAGATGAGAAAGGAATGAATGGGGAAGACGGTTGCAGGGATGGGGATAAGGGGGAAGGGGGTTGTGGATGTGGGGTGGAGGGAAGAAATGGGTTGTGGGGTGGAGTGGAGTGGAGGGGAAGGCGAGTTGTGGAGTTGGGGAGAAGCAAGGGGAAGGGAGTTGAAGCATGAAGAGGGGGACTTGGAGGGGAAAAAAGGGGGGTTCCTTCTGCCTCGTCTCCGTCAGTCCTGTTGTGTTTCAGTCAGTCTTGTCAATTTGTGAGAGAACGTGTGGAGTGTGAGAACATATAATTAGATACTCATAAAGTTACGGTATATACAGATGCTCTTAAGGTTATATAGATCATGTTTTTCATCCTCGGTTTAAGCATTCATTTCCCTTACAACATCCGGGCACTTAAGGCCAACGTAAAAGAAAAAAGCCAGAAAGTTTCAAGTGAGTAAGAAAGGGAAGAAACATACGGTACGGTAGGAACAAGTTGGAGGGTCAGTGATGCGAGTGAGGAGAGTAAAGACGAGTTATGACGCTGTAAACTAGAGAAAAATTAAGAAAAAAAAGGTGTGGAAGAAGGCACGTGTTGTATGTGAGGGAGATGAGGAAAATTAGGAAACGTGGGAGGAGAAGAGGAGACAGAGGGGCGAGAAGATCCACTCAGAGTTTGGTGTGAGAAAGAGGAAGAAGGGGAGGAGGAGGAAGGAAAGAGTGTGAATGAGATAACGTGTAGAGTGTGAGGACTCGCCAGGCGATAAGAGTGAGGCAGGAGGTTGGAGAGTTGTGTGTGGGAAGGGGTGGGGGGGGGTGCAGTAGAGGTTCATCAGGTCCAACAGTGTGGTGGGCGGCAGGATTTATTGTGAGCCTGGGGGTCTGTTCCATATTTTTCCCACGCGAGAATAGTGGTGAAGGGCAGACGGGGAAAAAAAAAAGTTTGGAACAGGATAATGTGATGTATGGTGAACCTGGCCGCGTGGAAGACACTTGCGATAAGGGAAGACAATATTTTATCCTTCCACAGATTCTTTTCGTCTCTTCTTTTCACGTGTGTGTGGTGTGTGTGTGTGTGTGTGTGTGTGTGTGTGTGTGTGTGTGTGTGTGTGTGTGTGTGTGTGTGTGTGTGTGTGTGTGTGTGTGTGGTGTGTGTGTGTGTGTGTGTGTGTGTGTGTGTGTGTGTGTGTGTGTGTGTGTGTGTGTGTGTGTGTGTGTGTGTGTGTGTGTGTGTGTGTGTGTGTGTGTGTGTGTGTGTGTGTGTGTGTGTGTGTGTGTGGTGTGTGTGTGTGTGTGTGTGTGTGTGTGTGTGTGTGTGTGTGTGTGGTGTGTGTGTGTGTGTGTGTGGTGTGTGTGTGTGTGTGTGGTGTGTGTGTGTGTGTGTGTGTGTGTGTGTGTGCGTGTGTGTGGTGTGTGTGTGTGTGTGTGTGTGTGGGTACATGGATTATCGAAATGATTTAGAACGGTAATAAGTAATGATGATATGAAGGCTATCATACACATAAATATACTATTAATGTTTCCTGTACACATATAGACACACTATTAACGTCTCGTGCACACACATATGTACATTGTTAATGTCTCCTGTCCATATATATACACATTATTAACGTCACATATGCACACATAGACATATTATTAACCCTTTGGCTATTGGAGGTTTTCTTAAGTTGATTAGAATCGTCTGGCGGTAGTCTAGAATAAAATTATAAAGTACTGCAATAGGCACGAAAGGGCTGTCACCTATAATCATAAAGGTTAACAAGAAATATAAGCATGTTAACAAAACTCTTAAAATATCACCGTAAATAAATCACAGTATACTTTCTTTTAAATAAAATTTTTATTAAAAATTCTTAGTTTTATAAAACTTTCTCTTGTTTTTCTTGATCATCTTGTTAAATTAATTATATACTATTTAACAAAACACAAATTATTATCTATTTCCTTTACTAACTAGACAATTACTTAGTTTCTTCACCAGCAAAACACTCTTACCTAACACCTTTATCAACAAGACACACTTACCTATTACCTTCACCAACAAGACACACTTACCTATTACCTTCACCAACAAGACACACTTACCTATTACCTTCACCAACAAGACACAATTACCGATTATCTTCATTAAGAGGACACACTTACCTATTATCTCCATTAACAAAACGCACTTACCTATTTTCTTCATTAACAAGACGCACATGCCTATTATCTTCATTAAGAGGACACACTTACCTATTTTCTTCATTAACTAGACTCACATTCATATTATCTTCATTAAGAGGACACACTTACCTATTATCTCCATTAACAAAACGCACTTACCTATTTTCTTCATTAACAAGACGCACATACCTATTATCTTCATTAAGAGGACACACTTACCTATTATCTTCATTAACAAGACGCACATACCTATTATCTTCATTAAGAGGACACACTTACCTATTATCGCCATTAACAAGACGCAGGCACTTACTAGCGCCTCCACCATTAGCAAGACTGCATTGATCCCTTCCAGATTCTCCTAGACATTGTTAAGGTGTCGGATACTCCGCTAGGCTCGTATAACCTGCCTTGGGGGGGGGGGATCGTTGCGGATTTAGTTAAAAGCTTTTAAGATTAGGGAGAGTTTCTGTAACCCGATATTATGTTAGGCTATCTGCCATTAACAGTGGGACTCATATTTAATGTTATTAGTGGTGGTGTTGTTGTTTTCTTGGATGTTGTTTTTGTTTTTATTTGTTGTTGTTGTTGATGTTGTTGTTGTTATTGTTGTTGTTGTTGTTGTTGTTGTTGTTGTTGTTGTTGTTGTTGTTGTTGTTGTTGTTGTTGTTCTTCTTCTTCTTCTTCTTCTCATTATCCTTTTATCGTAATTTTTATTATTTTAAAAACAACTTTACTTCTTGACGACATAATTATCTTGGCTTCTATCATAAGCTCGGTGTTTGTTTTTCCAGACTTAATAACCTGACCTTTAGTCGAGCTTAATAGACTCGTGAAACTGTGTAGATATAGGTGTTAATTCTGGCCATATTATAGAACAGATAGACAGATAGACAGACAGGCAGACAGACAGACAGACAAGCAGACAGACAGACAGACAGACAAGCAGACAGACAGACAGACAGACAGACAAATGGGTAGAAAGAGTAAATCCTTCACCATAAAACACTCACCCTGAAGGACGTGATGATATCCTAATTAAAATTTAAAAAATTCCTTATATATTAAACTGCTGGAGATGACAGGCAGAAATTTCAGGCTTACCAGATTTCTATCAAAGGAATTTTAGAGAATATTTAATTATCTCCCCTTGACTCGCGGCTGAAATACTAAACAATATAATTAGTAAAGTTCTTTGTTTGTGCTTTAAATATGTAATCTTCTCTGTGTTTATTAATTTCAGGTGACTGTATTTTGATTGTATTATGAATTGTATCCGGTGGAATGAGCTTAATATATCGACTTGTATATTAATTATATTTCACTGGTACCGTTTGCCTTATTATAACGCTATATATTAAGCGAGAGAGAGAGAGAGAGAGAGAGAGAGAGAGAGAGAGAGAGAGAGAGAGAGAGAGAGAGACTCCTTCATGTACAAAAATTCCTTTAATAGTATACTTATATAATAGAAACAACAATGCCAAAAATATTATGTTAAATTCTTTTGATCTCTTAAACCACAAATTATTATATCAACTGGTCAGAGAATATAACTAAACAGAGAAAATTTTGGCTATAATGATGAAAACATAAACGACAAGGAACGACTGTAAACAATAAACAACAACAAA